GGGCCTGTTCCTGTGCTGTAATTTTCTTTGTTCTTTGTTCTAATTTCCTACAGACACCTGGGAATCACTGGGCCAAGACCATCCAAAGTGGAGGAGGAGTGTCTGGGAAGGCATCAAACACCTCGAGACTTGTGAGAGAGGGTCATCCTCGTCTGTGAGGGACCGCCAATGATGATGAGTACGATGCTAATCTAAATACAACACAGACTTGTATTGGAAGAGAAAAAGTTTGCAAATTTATAGGGGCCAAAGCCGGAGAGTGGGACTATCAAAGGGCTGGAATAGGCCGCGTAAGGTACCAACCAGTCAACTTGTGTGTTTTATGATCCTTTGGTTCTAATTAAAAGCAACTCAACAAATGGGCCATGAAAGATAAAAACAGTAGGTTTTAGAATTAATCCATTTTGTTGATAAGACACTTTGTGCTTGACCAGCTCAGTTGTATTATTTATGTTTCAGAATAGTTTTCAGGACTTTATTAGGTCTCATGTATTTTAAAAAATTAATTCGAAGCTGAAGTATTTTTGTGACAGTATTGCTGTTAGTATTTCTGTGTCAAGAGAAGATAAAGTTTAGCCACCTTAAAGATAGTTTTAATGATTATTTAGTCCCTGCTGAGCAAAGCTAGAATGACTGTGAAATGTAATGCCTCGGTGTGGCTCAATAATGGACAAAAACCTGTGACAGCCTACAGCAATCATACTGTTTAGATGTCAACCTTGGGTCTGAAGCCAGCAGATTCAATTCACACGCTAGAGATTTGAGTAAAATCTCACCTGACACTCCAGTCCTGAGGGACTGCCGTACTCTTGTAGGTGCCATGGTTCCGATAAGACATTAAACTTATGCTTTCTGATGAAGGGTCTAGGCCCGAAACGTCAGCCTTCCTGCTCCTATGATGCTGCTTGGCCTGCTGTGTTCATCCAGCTCTACACCTTATTATGTCTATTAAACCAAGGTGGTCTGCTTTCTCTTTCTCTCAAAAAATATCCCATGGACCTGTGCTTCAGCGATTTCTCCCTTGTGTCCTGGTTAATATTTATTCCTTAGCTAACAATATCAATGACATGGAAGTACCGGTGTTGGACTGGGGTGGACAAAGTCAGAAAGTCACATGACATCAGGTTATAGTCCAGCAGGTTTATTTGAAATCGCAAGCTTTCAGAGCGCTGCTCCCTCATCAGGTAAAGGCACTAGCTGGGCCAATATTTAATGCCCACCTTAGTTGCCCTTGAGTTTGTGGGGCTGCGTTTGCAGGGATACTCGGACGTAGTGCATTGGTGTGTAAAGAGCAAGAAATCTGGATAGATAGACTTATGCTTTGGACATGTGTTCAAATCCCACAAGGGCTGTGACAGAATTTAAATTCAGTTAATAAAACAGGAAGGTAAAGCTGGTCCCGGTAATGGTGACTATGACAACTGTCACTAATTGTTGTTTAAACCCATCTGGTTCACTTGTGCCCTTGAAGGAAGGAAATATGCCATCCTTACCCGGTTTGGCCTACATGTGACTCCAGACCCATGGCAATTTGGTTGACTTTTAACAGCCCTCTGAAATGGCAAGCCAATCAGATTAAGGATAATAAGGAAATGGGAAACAAATGCTGCCTTTGCCAGTGACAGCCATATCTCATGAAACAACGAGGAATTAGAAGAACAGTGATTACACTTAGAGAACACAGAAGAGAATAGGAGCAGGAGTCGGCCATTCAGCCCTTTGAGCTTGCTCTACCATTCAGTAAGATCATGGCCGATCATTAAATTCAAATCCCCTGTTCCCATTTTCTCCCCATTCCCTTTGATCCATTTAGCCTAGGAACTATATCCATCTCCGTCTTGAAAATGTTTTGGTCTCAACCACTTTTTTGTGGCAGAGAATTCCACAGGATCATCAATCTCCAGGTGAAGACATTTCTCCTCAGTCCTAAATAGTCTACCCATATCCTTAGACTGTGAAGAAAACAAAAAATGCTGGAGATCACAGTGGGTCAGGCAGCATCCCCTGGAGGGAAAGCAAGTTAGCATTTCAAGTCTAGATGACTCTTTATCTGATGAAGAGTCATTTAGACTCCAAATGTTAGCTTGATCTCTCTCCATCGATGCTGCCTGACCCACTGTGATCTCCAGCATTTTTTGTTTTCTGTACAGATTCCAGCATCTGCAGTAATTTGCTCCTCCTTATACTGATTGATTGATCGATTGATTGATTAGTCCATTAAGTAATAAACTTAATCACGTTATTGGCTGGGCCAGCATTCATTATCCATCTGTAATTACTTTGAGTAGGGGTTGGTGAGCTAACTTCTTGAACTGTTACAGTTGTGCTGTCGGGAGATTGTAATTAGGATGGCCTGAGATCAGGAAAGGAAGGCACTGCAGAAAAATGTAAGTCTGGTACAGTTACAACATTTAAAAGGCAGCTGAATGGGTCTATGAATAGGAAGGATTTAGAGGGATATGGGCCAAAAGTTGGCAAATGGGACTAGATTAATTTAGGAAATCTGGTTGGCATGGATGAGTTGGACCGAATGGTCTGATTCTGTGCTGTACATCTCTATGACTCTTTCTCCTTTTATTGGGTTGAAAGGAATACTTTAAAAGTAACTCTGTTATTGCTGGTCACAAGTCATAGGTAAGGAGAATAGGTCAAAAATAGGCAGGCGAAAGGTATAATGTAAAACAAAATCAAAGCACTTTCTGATGTAAAAAACCTTGGTATATGTTGAATGGCCTTTCAAATGGGTTTGTTGTGATCAGATTTTTATAGTGAGGCACTGAAAACAGATCTTATGACACAAATAGGAGCTTCCAGGACCTAGGAGTCATAAAATTATAGAATCCCTACTGTGTGGAAGTAGGCCATTCAGCCCATGCCAACCCTCTGAAGAGTATCTCACCCAGACTCACTCCCCTACCCTATCACCCCACATTTCCCATGGCCAATCCACCTAACCTGCAGATCTTTGGACTGTGGGAGGAAACTGGAGCAATCCCACACAGACACGGGGAGAATGTGCAAACTCCACACAGACAGCCACCTGAGGGTGGAATTGAACCTGGGTCCCTAGCACTGTGAGGCAGCAGTGCTAACCACTGAGCCACTGTGCCGCCCAAAGTAAAGTATTTTTGTCGCTTAACTTCAAAATTGAGAGCAAGTTGACATTCGCATCAGGGCATTAACCACCTTGAGGTAAATTTAAAAATGCTAATTTTTATTAATTTCACGCAGGCTGTTGCTTCCAGATATAAATATATTTTCCAAAAGAAAATATTCATCTTTAAGCATTCCCTAAAACCATTGTCTAATCAGTTTCTGACTCCTCGTGCTGTGAATAAATTTGTTTGTCCACATACTGTAGACATTCAAGAGATAAAAAGGCATCAGATCTTGTCTCGTTACAACACTGGTGTGACTATGGCAACCGTAACTAGCTTTGGGCTCTCATCTGACATTTTTTTTATTGTAAAGAAATACGTTTCCTTCAGCGAAATAAAATAGAATATTCAGAAGCTGCTCTCAACTCAGTAACAAGTTGGATCTAAGGCACACGTTCAACACTGTAGAATGTCCCAGGATGCTTCAGTAGAGCAAGAGCAAACCAAATTTGACATTGAGCCACACAAGAGGTACATTACTAATGAGGTAGTGTTTAAGGAGCATCTTAAAAGAAGACAGGGAGAGAGCAGGAGAGGTTTTAGGATGGAATTTCAGAGCTTAGGGCACAAGCAACTGAAGGCACTTCTGCCATTGGCAAAGAGATAAAAATTGAGGTTGTGCAAGAGGACAGAAATGTAGGAACACAGAGATCTCAAATGGTTGTAAAGCAGGAGAAGGTTGGAATCTCATGGAGACTAAGAGGGCTGAGGCCTCTCAGGGATTGGAAAAGATGGATAGGAGTTATATGGACAGCAAAGTTTGAGGCCAGCTCAGCTTTATGTAGGGTGGAAGTGAGGAGGCCAAACAGAAGAACGATTGGAGAGTCCGGTGTAGAGTAACAAAAGCTTGGGGAAGCAGAAGATGTGATACGGAAGAAAAGAAGCAATGTCAATGTTTCAGACTTAAGTCAGGTGCATACGCACAGGCCTTTACTAAGTAATACCATTGCAATTCTGTCAGAGAGTACATTCCAGGCATCTCATAGTGCCCAAGATAGGACAGATATTGTTTATTTCTCATCATGATGCCAGCTCCATCCCAAGTGCATCTCATGTCAGCTGGTTGAGTGTGTCACTGCATATGACATGGAGGAATGCTGTCTTGGGCCACATATTCCCCTCTTGTAAGCTCCCAAACTCCCTCCATACTCAACGCGCACCATGAGTGAATCATCCAAACACTAAAACTGCAGGAAATCAGCCATCAGATTGGTAGCACCCTCCAGTACAGTACAGTAGGTGTGCTGCACTGTAGAAGGTAATATTTTTAAGATGAGATGATAAACCAAGATGCCATCTGCCTTTTCAGATGGATGTGAAACTAATTCATTGAAGATCAAGGAGATTTATTTCTGGCCTTCTGACCTATATATATATATCCCTCAATGACAGCTCTGGTCATCTCTTATTGCAGAGGTCGGAGCTGACTGTGTGCAAATTGGCTGCTCCAATTCCTATATTACAGCAGTGACAAAGAACGTGAGAACCAGGAGCTGGAGTAGGCCATTCAGCCCCTCCCCCGAGTCTGCTCCATCATTTGGTACAATCATGGCTGTTGTCATCTTGGCCTCAACTCCACTTTCCTGCCCACTCTCCATAACCCTTCAGCCTGTAACTAATTAACGATATGTCCATTCCCTTTCACTATTTATTTACTTATTGTCGCTTGTATTTTGCTACAAAATAGTGAAAACTGTTGTATAGTGCTGCCATTCTCCAGTGCCATCATAAAACGCAGAAAAATAATTCAAAACGTGGAGCACAAAGACAGCAAAATAAAGAAATAGTGTCCAACTTCACAGTCCTTCTTATTCAATGCTCTGCCAAGGATCTGGTGGCTACCCACAAGTCCCCCTTGCCAACTCCACCACCACTGGAATGAAAGTTGCCAGTCTTTGGCACCATCTTGCCACCAACGATGTTCATGCCACTATGGGTCCTCGCCAATGTAGACATCACCGACGTCGCTGGGTATCGCACTGGCCGAAACGCAACTCCTCCGCCACCATGAGTCAGCTTCGGGCCCATCTCGCCGAAGCAGCCGCTGCCGATGCCGCCAAGTCTCGTACCGGGCCCAAATGCGCCCCTGCCGCAGCAGGAATGAGTCGGCACTAGGACCGCCTCGTCAATGCAGAAGCGCCGAGCTCGGCTTGAGTCGGCGTTGGGGCCCCCTCGCCGGTTGCCAATGCCATCGCCGCGACCGAGCTCCTCAACAAGAGGTAAGTAAAAGACAGAAAAAGAACAACAAGGAGAAAAGTGGGGGGAGCCGGGGGGAACAAAAGAAAAGAAATAAAAGGGAAATCAGATGGAGCAGATGAGCCCTGGGCCCCGAATCCACCGCCGTCTTCCTGCAAGGCTCAGTCTTAAACTAATTCAATGTTCCAGCAACAAGTGCACAAGTGCAACGACCCTTTGAGAGATGTAATTTCTCCACACCTCTGTCTTAAATCTGCCGCCCCTTATCCTGAGACCGTGGCCTCTCCTTCCAGATTACCCCACACGAGGAAACATCCTTTCTACTTCTACGAACGTTTCAGCTGTTTTTCTCACTACCAGTGAAGTGCTGCAAATTGTCCTGAGATCATGAAAGCAGATACGTAAATGTAATTTGGTCTCTTTTTATTTGCTCATCGATGTGAAGCCAAGGTAAAATCAAGAGAACGAAACCCACTTTCTGCATTGACCCCAATGTCACATGCTCACGTACATTTAACTGCGTGGAAAGCAAGGCCCGCAGGATTATTTTTTGGACAAAAGCTTGCAGCAAAAAATCGCAAAAGCCTGTTATACAGCCCTCCCTTATTCATTCATATCTTTTACTGTGAACCAATTTACAGTCGGTAACAGAGAAGGGAATACAGGCTGTTTTGCTGTTTAAAATATCAAAATTGCTCCCACTCCTGCCCTCCCTGTTGTGTATTTCATATATTCCAGATCTACCCATGGAAAAGTACTGGTTTTTAAATGTGCAACAGAATGAATTAAAGTTTAAAAATATCTCCATAAGCATAAAATGTCTGCATTAATGCTTGCAGCTTCATTTCTAGTCTTTTTGCTATGGACTCTGTTTGCTTCACTCTGAATCCACATTCAGGCTTGACCAAGCAAGCACAGTGAGTATAGATCAGTTACCAGACTTGCATAATTAAACACAGAGCAATTAAACCATTGATCACTGTACTGAGCATCAGTTGAACCCACATTTACTTTCAAAAAGAAAAACATTACCAAATGCACATTAAATTGATTCACAGAGCCGGCATGTTTGTCATGTTTGCAACTCATTGTTGAAACTTTAAGAAGATTTTCTAAAATGAAACACAGTGTAGATTTACTTACATTTAGGCACACTTTATTGGCCAGTTGCAGTGGTACTAAGCGTATTGTTTGAGCGGAAGGATACCCTGACAAGCATGAAGTTTGCTTAGGCTGGCATTTTAGTTGTTTTAAGAAAATTTAATGAACTCTGGAGATCATCATGAGTAAAATCTATGTGAAATCTAGGGATTATGTGGCCCCTAACTGTGAAACCTTGCCCTTGATGTTCATCATTTTCATTTCCTGGCTTCATAATTCCCAGTTTCTGACTCAATTTTCAGCTCACACAGTGCTGCAATGATGTTTTGTGGCAGCTCTCTGTCATTATTCCTGAAGAGATTGCTAATACAGTAATACGCACATCATTGTGTTTAGCTATTATGGCCTCAAAACCTTGGGGCTAGTAATAAGTGTTAATGTTGTTCACAAATGACTATAATCATCCCCCTTTCATATTAATAGGGTCTTGAGCTTCAAACACATTTATAACAGATTGTGGTCTAAAAAAAATGCTTACAATTTAAATGTGAGTCTAAGCAACAACACATCCTCTAATGTACCAGTGCAAAGGTATATACAGAAATTGATGCATAGAAGTATAGAAGATAGGAACAGCAGGAGGCAATTCATTGCGATATCATCCAACTCAATAGCCCAATCCTGCTTTCTCCCCATAACCTTTGATCCCTATTGCCCTGTGTGCTATACCTAGCTGCCTCTTAAATACATTCAATGTTTTGGCATCAACTACTTCCTGTGGTAATGAATTCCACAGGCTCACCACTCTTGGGGTGAAGAAATGTCTCCTCATCTTCGTCCTAAATGGTCTACCCCAAATCCTCAGACTGTGACCCCTGGTTCTGCACACACCCACCATCGGGAACATCCTCCCTGCAGCTACCCTGTCCGGTCCTGTTAGAATTGTATATGTCTTTATGAGATCCCCCTTCATTCGTCTGAACTCCAGCGAATTTTGGTCTCCTTACTCGAGAAGAGATATACTAGCACTGGAGAGGGTGCAGAGGAGATTCACTTGGTTGATTCCAGAGTTGAGAGGGTTGGATTATGAGGAGAGACTGAGTAGACTGGGATTATACTCATTGGAATTCAGAAGAATGAGGGGAGATCTTATAGAAACATATAAGATTATGAAAGGAATAGATAAGGTGGAGGCAGGGAGGTTGTTTCCGCTAGCAGGTGAAACTAGGACTAGAGGGCATCGCCTCAAAATAAAGGGAAGCAGATGTAGGACTGAGGTCAGGAGGAACTTCTTCACTCAGAGGGTTGTGAATCTATGGAATTCCCTGCCCAGTGAAGCGGTTGAAGCCACCTCGCTGAATGTTTTTAAGACAAGGCTAGATAAATTTTTGAACAGTAAAGGAATTAAGGGTTATGGTGAGCGGGCAGGTAAGTGGAGCTGAGTCTCAAAAAGATCAGCCATGATCTTATTAAATGGCGGGGCAGGCTCGAGGGGCCAGATGGCCTACTCCTGCTCCTAGTTCTTATGAAAACAATCCTAACCTACTCAATCTCTCCTCATACGTCAGTCTCATCATCACCGGAATCAGCCTGGTAAACCTTCGCTGCATTCCCTTGGGACACCTTAAATGTTTGGGGGACCTTACATTGGATTGGAATTTTGCCGGGAAAGTAATGTGTGTAGACAATGTTATTCATGCACAAATTAGCCAGCAAAATCAAACAATTCAGAGGGGGTGAATTGCAAATATCTGGAACCTACCTGTTGATTTTAATTGTTTCATCATTTGCTTCTCAGAAACACAGTCTCATCCTTTACCTGTTTTTTAAGAACTGACTAGATTTACACATTGATTGTCCAATTAACTAAGAGGACAAGTTATCAGCTCACATTTCCAGCAAATCAAGTGTATGTTAAATATTCCTAGAATATTTATGCTAAGAAGAGCTGTGAAATTCTTCTGAGAGTCCTGGACAATATTTATTCTTCAAGTAATATCATTGATAATCAATAATTATTTGGCCATGACCTCATGTTATCCGTGAGGGAGCTTTCTGTGCACAAATTGGCTGCTGCATTTCCTAGATAGGAACGTAAGAAGTAGGAGCAGGAGTGTGTTATGCAATTCTTCAATCCTGCTTCATCATTGAATAAGACCACGGTTGATCCTTGAGCTCAACTTCAACTTCCGGCTTAATCCTCTGATTCCGACAGCAATATCAACATCTTTTGCTCTAAGTCTTTAGTCTGCTTAATGACTGATCATCCATATTGAAACAGTGACTACACTGAAAACAGATATACTCCTTTGTCATCTGTAGAGCACCTTGGGATCTCCTGAGAGTATGCAAGAAGCTTTGTAAAGTGGAAAGGGATTGATGGGGGTGAGCTGTGCCTGAAAACGCGTGCAAAATTAACAGCAGCTTACTTTTCCAGAGGGAGATTTGATTGCTCGGAGTGTGAAAGTCCTGCCGTTAGACAATGTGGATTGCGCAAGGACAACTGCTATGCTGCAGCAAGCATGTTTGTGAAAAATATTTATTTTTATTGAAAATCAACAACTTGTTTTCTAGGACCCTAACTTACATGAAAGAAAAGACCAAATACCAGTTTTAGACAGATGAATTGGAGATCAAATTAATAGAACACCTATCAATTTAACAGCAATATCACTGGTTGCACAAACTGGGAACAGACTGCTGAATTTCTCTGACCTAAAATGGGTGCAATATACATTGACATCTACCGCTACCATATCAAATGATGTATTATTACTGAAAATGCTTATCTTGGATGTCATTCGAATACTCAAAATTAGTTTCATCAAATTCCTTTCACTTACATTTTGTTGGAGCCATAGTGACTGAAAGCCAACATTCACCAGAGAGGGAATCAAATACCCATTGTACATCCTTCCTGATATTATGATTAGGATTAGGGTGTACTCTAACCTAAACACTAATCCTCATTTTAATTTTAATCCTTACTCTAACCCTAACCCTGTAGGTTAATCTGTTGGAACCTGTTTTACAAATTACACCCCATTCAAATACTCATGGAACCAAAATAAGAAGAAAGAATTCCAGATGCTGGAAATCTGAAACAAAAACACAAATTGCTGGAGGAACTCACAAGTCCGGCAGTTTCTATGGAGACAGAGAAGAGTTGAAGTTTCGGGTCCAGTGACCCTTCTTGAGAATTGACAGTAGCTAGAAAAAGGGGTAGTTATGTTGAAGACAGGGGATTGGGGATGTAGGGGGTTTGGAAAAGGAGTGAGGGGATAGGCAGAGACAGAACCCAGAGAGAGAGAGAGAGAGATAATGACTTTAGGGAGACCAAAGGGATGGATTATATTGTGCTCTGATAAAGAAAAACTGATAATGGGGACCATAAGTAGGTGAAAACAGCTTGGCTGTATTGAAAGCAGTCATTTGAACCAAGTTGAATTATTTACAGCATTTTAGGTGTTGTCAATGTGTAATAAAGAAAACTTAGCCCATCATTTGAATACAGTGATCTTCCACAAAGTGCAAAGAAATAATGATCAGTTAATGTTTTCAGTTGAAGGATTAATAATGGTCAGGACTGGGAAGAACTAATCTGCTCTTCTTTGAGATGATACGATAGAATGTATTGTATCCAAACGCAAGGACAGGCAGGTGCTCATTTCATCTCACCTAAAAGGCGGCACCACTGACACAGCAGCATTTCCTCAGTGCTGACACTGGAGTTGTCAACATTCGAGAAATTCAGATGGCATTTGAACCTACGACTCAGAGACAGGGAGCAAGAGTCCTATTCACTGAACCCCAACCACCCAAGGTTAGGAAATGGTAACATAGGAATGGGCATAGAGAGTGACTGGAGGCTTACTGGAGTGTCCAAGTGAGGGTGTGAGGACAGGGGT